AAATTCACACACAATGTAAATATATATATGATCAGCATTACATATATCAGCTCCATTTACCATATAATAGGAGTTCTACAATTACAGAATGTCCATCTGGTTCTAGCCACCTTTCACCCTGTTCTTCAATGGTTACCCTCACAGGACCACCACAGAGCAGGCATTATTTGGGTGGTGGATCATTCTCAGCACCGCAGTGACACTGACGTGGTGGTGGTGTGTTAGTGTGCGCTGCACTGGTACAAGTGGATCAGACACAGCTGCTGGAGTTTTTAAACACCTCATTGTCACTGCTGGACTGAGAATAGTCCACCAACCAAAAATATCCAGCCAACAGCGTCCTGTGGGCAGCGTCCTGTGACCACTGATGAAGGACTAAAGGATGACCAACACAAACTGTGCAGCAGCCGATGAGCTACTGTCTCTGACTTTACATCTACAAGGTGAACCAACAAGGTAGGTATGTCTAATAGAGTGGACAGTGAGTGGATCTGTCTGATCTACTCATACCAGCACAACACACACTAACACACCACCACCACCAGTCACTCTCACTGCAGTACTGAAAATGATCCACCACCCAAATAATTCTGGCTCTGCGGTGGTCCTGTGGGACTGGCCATTGAAGAGCAGGGTGAAGGGGGGCTAACAGAGTACACAGAGAAACAGATGGACTACAGTCTGTGATTATAGAGCTACAAAGTGCTCCTATATGAAATGGACAATGAGTGTAGATATAAGGAGGTGGGTTTAATGATATGGCTGATTGGTATAACCCCTTTTATTCCCCAAAATAAGTGAGATCAGGGCTGAACCCACCACACTGTAATCATGAGCTGTAGGCCTGTGTATAGTTCATAGGTCATTAGGAACCTGTAATCTATCATTACTGCTCATATGCTTATATTATTTAGAGAAATAGGCTGGATTTTGGTGAAAGACTTTGAATTGTGATCTTTTTACAAATGGCCACAAGGTGTCAGCACTGGACAGAGGAGTGAACACGAAGCTTTGGGCTCAAACAGATTACAACTTGCAGCAATCTGGGGTGATTAATCAGGCCCACTGTATTTGGGTAGACCCCTAAAGATTACAGATGTTCAAAGTTTTAACAACTTTTTCGGTGAAACTGGTGAAAAATGTGGTGAATGTTATTATTCTTTAGGGTTAAGGTTAACTGAAAGTAAGTTGAAGTAAAGCTAAGAATGTGCAAAGCAGAAACGTTGGGTCATCTAAATAAAGTGTTATTTAAGTAAGTAAGTAAGTAAATAATCAATCAATCAATCAATCAATCAATCAATCAATCAGTCAAAAAAGTAAATTAACTCATATACATAAGTGTAAATGTGGAGGATAATCATATTCAAAACGTGGTGCATTGAAATAAACACGCCTCATCTTTATTCATTTTTATTTTCATTGATTCATTGATTCATTGATTGATTCATTCATTCATCCAGTCAGTCAGCCAGTCTTTACAGACCCTATTAAATTTAGATATTTAGATCTACACGCCAAGGTCAGTGAGCAGAAGGTAAATATGTCCTGCATGATGACGTGGACAAACAACACATTTATGTCACACTATTTTAATGTTATGAATTCAACCAAACAGACTCGTCCAGCCTGAAACTCGACGCGCTTTCAGCCCGTCTCTGTAATGAACATCAGCACATTTAACAGTGAAGAGACTGACTGAAAGCTGACAGATCAGGCTGAGATATTCACAGCCCTATAAAATATCGCAGATATCTTTTACGCACGAGATAGACAGATCTGGCGCGTCATGGAGCTCGACAGCCCACCCGAGTGTTTTTTTTCTGATGTGAAGACCCGAAAGTGGAGCTCAGAAAAAGAGAAGCCTATACACACTCTTCAAGGGTTCTTTAAGGAAGAGAGTGGTTCCATTTAGAACCACGAGTTCTATATAGAACCATTTGCATGCTTAAATTTGCACTTCACTTTGCATGGTAAATTGGTTCTTCAGATTGATGGAGACCTTTTTGAAAATGGTTCTATACAGCACACAAAAGGGTTCTGCTATTATTATGATGTCAAGCTTGTTACAATAGAAGAACGCTTTTTGGTGGTATATAGAACCATTCATCAGTCTGAAGAACCATTTCACCATGCAGAGAACCATTCAGCACGCAAATAGATCTATATAGAACATCTACATAGAATCTTTACTAAAGAACCCTGTAATTATATATATATATATATATATATATATATATATATATATATATATATATATATATACATACATATTAGTATATGTATCTAAGTACCAGCTACCACGGAGCGTCCAGTCGTTCCTAAAGGAAACCCGTACAGAGGTCTTTGTTAGACCTGCGCTGCGCTGCTGGCCTTTATTTAATGCTCACTGTTGAGCGCTGCGTAGGGTCCGATTGTTATGAGCCTATATGCGGCTCGTGCGGAAGGCGTCAGTATCACGCGCTGCTCGTACGGACTGATGTCTCTTCAATGTGTGTGTTCAACCTGTATCTTTCATTAAGCTCATTTAAAGGTGCAAACGTGAAAATCCGCATAAAAATAAGGATGTTTTAATATGGATAGAAATGTAAGACTGAGAATAGATAATAATAATTATAATAATAATAATAATAATAATAATAATAATAATAATAGTAAGGTCACGTAAAGACTTTGGAGTTGAACAGTGCAGAGCTCGTGCTCACTATTTCTTCTAAACACTACGCTAGACCCCCCCATATCTAGTGAGTGAGGGTTCATTTGAGGGGCTCTATAAACCCAGGGGACCGTTTTCAACCCTTCTCCCTCTCTCTCTCTCTCTCTCTCTCTCTCTCTCTCTGATTAAAATTTAATTCTCGCCGCTGCTGAGGAATTCTGATTAATGCCGCACTATTACGAGGCGTTTGCGCAGAAAAAGCACCAAAAAAGGTGCGTAAAATATCGATTTCAGGCAAATAAGTGCAGCGAAGTCATAATTTAATTATTATTTAATTCACAATTATTGTTTAATAAAATTGTTGATACTACCACCAATCACGACAAACGACCATCAACAGAAATCATAGCGTTATTATTATTATTATTATTATTATTATTATCTGTCGCTGCTGTTTATTAGAAATACGCTTTATTTTGAATAAAATGCATTTATTTCTCTCATAAATAAATTAACACTCGGAACTGATCTTATTTATTTATTTGTTTATTTATTTGGACAGCAGGCGCGTAACCTTTTAACCTTTCAGCGTTGCCATTAATCCCAGTACATCTGCTGTTCCTGTTTGCCAATAATTGATTAGAATAAACAGCTTATATCAGGTTATAACAGATCATAATGTAATTGATCATACGTCATAGGCTACATCTGCTGTAATCGACCATGATGGAATGAATCACAACGTATAGTTTACATCAACTATAATCCATTGTTATGGAATCAATCATAACTTATAAGCTATTCCAGCTATAATCAATCAACAACGGAGTCAAGTATAATATAGAGGCTGCATAACCAGTCATAATGTATAGATGACATTCGACACAATCGGTCATGATGTATAAGCTCCATCAATCACAATGTACTCAGTTTTAATGAACAGAATACATTAGTCATAGTATATAGATGACACACTCAGTCATAATGCATAGGCTGCATCAGACATAATGTAATCAATTGTGATCGAATCGAGCATAATTTGTAGGCATAAATAGTCACAATTAATCATGTAATCGATTATGTAGTTATAGAAGTTATCGATCACAGACTGATCAATCATAGTGTGAGTGATTGTAATGTACATATCAACCATCCCTGAACACAAAGGAATAATCTACACCATCATGCTTGATTATAATGCCTCGATGTTTCACATCAGCCATAATCTATCGTAACTTAATCGATCACGCAGGACTGATCACTATTTACAGTCTATATCAGCCTGTTGAAAGCTTCGCAACTCGTTCAGCTTTCCCACTTTCGCGAAGCCACGCCTGCGGAGGACGCGCGCAACCAATCGGCGCTCGATATTCAAATGAGCGTTTCCTTTTAAGGGCAAAGCCCCGCCCCCTCCCAGGCCGGTCCGAGCAGCAGCGCTGGGACGGAGAGAGGGAGAGAGGGAGGGAGGTTTCTCTCTCTCTCTCTCTCTCTCTCTCTCTCCACCCAATCCCTCTCTTCCCCGGGGAGCGCGAGCCTCACACCCCCCCCCGCTCCATCCCTCCCTCTCGGTCGGTAATCACTTCATTTCTCTCCTTTTTTTGAAGCGCTCGCTCCGTTTCATCCCGCTCTTTCGTCCCGCGATCCCGCGTGCGCGCCCGCCTCTCTCTCTCTCTCTCTCTCTCACTCTCTCTCTCTCCTCCTCCTCCTCCTCCTCCTCCTCCTCCCCCTCCTCCTCTCTCCATCTCCTTCTTCTTCTCCTTCTTCTTTCCATCTTCTCTCTCCCTCTCTCCGCGCCACGAGCCCGAGCTGCTCTCCTCCTTGATCCCGGCTGATCCCGTTGTTTGTTGTTTGTTGTTTGTTGTTTTTTTTCTCCTTCCTCCTCCTTTGAGATGACGCTCCTTCTTCGCGCGCGCCGCTCTTAAACCGGAGACTCCCGGTTAATCTTACAAGAGACCAACTTGGGGCTGTTGTTGTTTTTTTCCCCCTTTTTTACCTCTTTTTTTGGACTCTAACCCTAAAGAGGAGACCCCGCTGGGATACCCCCCTTACACGCCCCCCTCCCCTCGATACCCCGATACCCCGGCGTGCGCGAGCGGCTCTGGATAATTGGCCCCCTCCCCTCCCTTCCCTTCTACTACCTTTTGTGCACTTTTTGCGCGCGCTTTTTTGTGCACTATAGGGAAGAAGAATTATTCTTAATCTCCATTTTTTTGTTGTTGTCGTCTTGCTGGACTTTGGTGTCCGAGAGCGCAGGAGGATTACACTCTGAACACGCGCACACGCAAGCTCTCACGCACGCACGCGCGCACTCTTTCTACACGCACGCACGCCCGCCCGCCGCGCGCGCATGTTCTCCCTCCAGGACGGCCTCCCGCGGGGAGCGCTCACCATGAAGGAAGAGCCGCTGGCCAGCGGCATGACGCCCGTGCGCTCGTGGATGCAGAGCGCGGGGATCCTGGACGCCAACACGGCGGCGCAGAGGTAAACACACCGTCCGCGTGCTGTAGTGGGGGAGTATGTGGGGTGGGATCGGAATCGTCTCGCTCGCCACGTGCGAGGCGTGCAAAGAGTTGGTGCAGGTGTCAACAGAAAAATAGTGAAAAGTAGGTATAAAGTGCTCAGTACTCACAACAAACTGCAGGAGTCACGAGTGGCTCAGTTACTGTATCAATACTGAAGCTGTGTAAATACATTATATCTGTCTATGGGCTCATACTGTAGGATATCAATGGGGTGAGTAGATAGGTTTGTGGAAGGTACACACTCAAAAAACATGGTTCTTCAAGGGTTCTCCGGTAAATGGAATGGTTCTGTTTAGAACCATGACTTCTGTGTAGAAGCAAGTGGTTCTTTGCATGTTGAAATGGTTCTTAAGATTGATGTGCATGGTTCTATAGAGCACCTGCTATTGTTACGATGCCAACATCAGAAGAACCCATTTTCCAAAAGGTTCTACATAGAACAGCACATTCTCCATCAATCTGTAGAACCATTTCACCACGTACTTAAGCAATGCAAATTCCATATAGAACTCGTGGAAGAACCCATGAAGAACCATCTTTTTAAGTGTGTGTGATGGGCATATAGGTGGGTGGTGTGCGGGGTATCTATGGGATGGGTAAGTGTAGGGTCGTGCAGTGGTGGTAGGGGTAGGCAGGGGTGTGTGGGGACAGGTTGGCTCATGAAGCGCGCGCGCAAAAGAGTTGCAGAATAAACACTAGAGCTAAAAAGACCACCAGCACAAATTACCCAAAAGCATCATCATTCACGTGCGTCTTTAGCCTAATGAAGCCAGTGAGCTGGCCCCGCGTGCACTGGGACTCCAATAGCGAGTGGACGCCAACCCAAACTAAGATGATGATGGCTCTGACCCTCACTGACGCTGCTGGTGCAGATGCATGATCGATTCGGTTAGAAGGCCCGCGAGCTGCACTTTAGACCGCTGCTGCTGCTGATGATGATATGATTTCATCTTAGTAAAGTTAATAAGTTAATAAAGAGCTCAGAATGGGATGAGTCTGAACTACTGAACAGATAAACTACAGCCAAAATTAGTGCACTGCCCAATTTTCATTTGTATGATGGTCATATTGCGAGCTGAGGCCGCTGAGGCGCATTGGTCAGAAGTTTTAGCTTTAAACCGAGCCTGATGGTGAGCCAGACCAATACAAATGTCACGCGCGGCCGCTTTACTCCCACTTCTAAAGCACAGGCTAGAGTTTGCAACACGTCCAGGCTCCACTCCTGAATCAGTCTTGTACCTGTGTAGTACATCACGCTGCAAAGGAACCATTTGCACTAAGTTGCATTAAAACATTGAAACTACGGTGCTGAGTGAATGTAAACCAGGGCTGACAGTGTTGCAGCCGATACCTCACAACTGGAGCGCCGTGCATGTGACAGCACTAATGCATATCAGCCTGGATATGTGCACTAATTTGCACGGATGCAGTCTAATCAGGATGTAGGCTAATTATGTGAGCTTTTATCAACTCTTCTTATTTGGTTATTTTCTAATGAAACTCAGGCTCTCTCGCTTCATCCCGCCGCGCGCGAGACCCAGCGCGACACTTACTGAACAAATAAATAAATAAATAAAAATAAATAAAACACCTTTGATTCACAAATTATTAGGTTTTTCGTTAAAAGGTGACTTTTATTGTGTAAAAAATAAGCTTAAATCTGCGATGAAGACTGTAGAGTTATTTTACACTGAAATGGAGCAATATTAACATGATTGATGTTGATGGGAAATATATACATTATCTATATAATATATAATCGATCATATCCTATACATGCAATGATTAGTAATATAAATTAATTAACTATATTAATAATCTATTTAATGTGTTTTTTGCAAGCATTTTTTTCTGATTGCGAACAGCGCCCGACTTAACAGCGCAAAAAGCCTTTTAATGTTTAATTCATGTTTAAAACTGAAATTACCTCACAAACAGTCCAGAAACAGTCCGGTCTTAATAGTCTTTGTTATGTTTTCTCGCTGGTGTGCGACGCAACCAGAAGATGCGGGAAGTTTTTGCCGCTCGCGCGCGCGCACTTTACCCCCAGCTTTATTTTGCCAGGCAGAAACAGCAAGCACGCGTTAAGTTGGACCAGACAGCGTCAGCTTTGGTGCTTCTGGGTCACCATCATCTCCAAACATGCTGATTTATATTTGAATAGTGTTTAATTTGTCGCACAGATTATTTACAGTGCATGAGGAAAAAAAAACAACAACCTGCTTTAAAAATCTCGCGGGAAACAGCTGGCCGGTCTTAATCCCTCACTCAAAACTTTTTAAAAAGGCTCAAACAGAGAAAAGAAGCAGTATTCAAATCTCCACATTTACATCTTCATACAGAGTGAACTTAATGCAGTAAATCAGTTCTATATGTGCGCACGTGCGTAATCTAATTTAGCGGAGTGCAAAAGGGAGAAGGTAGAACAGCTCTGCAAATATTATTATAAGTGCTGGATGGCTCGTGGCTCAAGTTAAACAGCACGTGAGAAACACTGGAAAGAAAAAAAAAGAAAGGAAAAAGGGAAATGTTGCACATTCACTCACTGAGAAAACGCAGTACATCATTAAGACATTGGACCATATGTATATATATATGTATATATGGTCCAAATATAAATATATATATTTCGTCTGGCTAATTTGTTTTGCTGAGGCCTGATTTCGTCTAGTTCACCCACTAAAGTCACAGTGCGCGGTGCATCACGGGAGCAGGGTTGGGGTGGCATTAATTTCTTTATTAATATTAATATTATTATCAGTACATATACAGAGAGTGACGGAGTGGCTCTACTTTAGCCTGGAGAGTCTGAATTATTCTAAGTATTTATTGTGTCCAAATTATTTATTACATCACAAACATTTTCCCATAAAAAAGCTCTTTGTTTTGTTTTTATCGTTCAATTATATTCAGTACAGTTTTGATTTTTAACGTCAGCAGCGCACCGCTCACTTAATTAATTAATTAATTAATTAATTTATTTAAAAGTCCGCGCGCGGTTCCAGTTGATCGGCGCTGTTTGAGAAATATAGGAAACAAAATTATGAAATAAAACAATTATTATTATTATTATTATTATTATTATTATTATTATTATTACAATCAGAGTTGTGTGCCTACTTATAGTTACAATATACTTATAACAATGTAATAGCATCATAATCATTTACACAAACACGTTGATATGAGCGGTGTTGTTGTTATCAGAGTGTTTATTCTCTAGTCTGAGAATATAATAATATCAGTGATGGTCATATTTCCAGATCTGATTAATTAAGTTTGATAATGAGCCTTTCCTCATATTTCACCTCCTTCACAGCAGATGATCTAAGAATAAACAAACACTGTTATAGAGTCACAGTGACTGTAGTTAATTAGAAGCTGTATAAGCTCAGATAGTTTAACTGACATTCACATAAGCAACACATATGAATGACTGATCTGCCGCGTTTTTAGGATGCCTTCTGAATTCGGACACACGGATGGAGTAAGATTAGCAGTCTGTAGTTTCTTTACATATCCTGGCTGCGAGGAGTGTGATTGGCTGATGAATTAGTACTGCAATAGTCTTTATTTCTTTAATTTAAAATCAGCAGATGAGAATATGAGTGACAAGGTGCTGGGAACAAAGTGCTCTGATGTGGAGGCTGGCATGCTGGTGTGTGTGTGTGGTGTCGGTGTGTGTTCACACTGTTTTGGAGGTGCTGATGAGCTGGTTGTGGGGAAATGCAGTTTGCAGTTGGTGCCTGTCGTTGTTCTGTAGGTGCTGCTCGCTGTTCGTTTCCAGTGAAGCACTGTTAAGATGTGTCTACACTGTTTGTCTCTATGCAGGGGAACCGAGTGTCGGTCACCGCGTGTGTGCTTTTGACTGGGACGCAGACATGGGACTGTGTGTGTATGTGTGTGTGTGTGTGTGTGTGTGTGTGTGTGTGTGTGTGAGCTGATTTACTCTGGAATCTGATGCAAACTGGATTAATGTTGATGGAAGGGAAGGTGGAGACAGGCGGAGTGAATCGAGTACATTGACTGTTTTAGATGGATATCAATGTCTCTCTCTCTCTCTCTCTCTCTCTCTCTCTCTCTCTCTAGTGTACTCTCTCATTCTAGCTCTTACGCTCTCTCTCTCTTTAGCTTTCCCTTCCTCTCTCCTCTCTCTCCGTTTCTTTATCACTATATCTTTTTACCTTTTCTCTTTCTCTCTCTTTCTTTCCTCTCTCTCCTCCATAGATCTTTTTGTCTTTTCTCTTTCTTGCGCTCTATCTTTCATCTTTTATCTCTCTTTCTCTCATTCTCACACTATATATTTTATTTTTTTCTCTTTCTCACGCTCTTTTTTTCTTTCTTTTTCTCTCCTCCTCTCACACACACTTTATCTTTCTATCTTTCTCACGCTCTCTCTCTCTTTCGACATCTCTCTTTCTCTCCTCTCTTTTCTAGATCTTTTCTCTTTCTTTCTTGTGCTCTTTCTTTCTTTCTTTCTTTCTTCTATCTGTTTCTCTCTCTTTCTTTTACTATATTTTTATTTTTTTCTCTTTGTCACTCTCTTTCTTTCTCTTTCTCTGCCCTCTCTCTCCCTCTCTCACGCACACATCATTTTCATCTGTTGTCTTTTTCATGCTCTCTCTTTCTCTCTCTCTGTATGTCTCTTTTTCTCCTCTCTGTCATTCCTAGATCTTTCTATCTTCGCTCTTTCTTGTGCTCCTTCTCTCTTCCTCTGTTTCTCTCTCTTTCTCTCACTATACTTTTTTTAACTTTCCTCCTTCTCACACTCTCTCTCTCTCTCTTTCACATACTTTATATTCTTATCTCTTCTCCTTCCCATATCCTGTCTCTCTTCTTTCTTTCTCTCACTCTCTCTCCTTCTCTCCGTCTCTCTCTTTCTCTTACTTTATCTTTTTGTCTTCTCGCTTCCTTGTGCTCTTTCTGTATCCTTCTCTCCATCTCTCTCTCTCTCTCTCT